AATAAACAATGGTCATGTTTAACAATATATAATAACAAGGGTCGTGACACAAAATATTCGCAGATGAGCGTTCCCGAGTATTCGAAACAACATTGTTCTTAAGCGACCAATATTATTGTGAAGTCGTTACTACGGCAACAGCTGGAATCATACGTAATAGCAATAAAGATTGCATAAATCGCTTTATTGATAAGTTCGCAAGAAACTCAAAAGAGGCTGTAGATGTTTACAGAGAGTGCCTAAGACTATATGAATACAAGAATGTAATCGATACGTACGTAACGCCTAAATAATTCTTCCTCTATTAAAGGCAGGCCTAAGATGATGTTCTTCTGAATTTAGACTCTTAAGGCTAATGTACATATGGTAAAGACGAAAGGCAGCGGTAAAGACGCGTCCAGTTGTGGCAGCTTGTCAGTTTAGACAGGTGCATTTTGTAAGCCATCAGCGCATTTTGTTTGTCAGGTTCACTTTCTCTTACCCATTGTAGGCCTATGTTCTTATGGTTAATTCAACCTGTTGTGTAGTGTACGTCATCCGCGGAGCTTTGGCACAACTTGCCAGAACGAAGCAACTTACGTTGATATTTTACTGAACCTACTATTTGTGATTGGTCCGTTTTCGACCTTATATATTCAGTGCTAAGGTCAAAAATGGACCAATTAGAAATAGTAGGTCCATAAAATTATTAACAAAAGCTAGCCGGGAAGAAGTTTACAAATTGGCTTACGCGGCTGAATAGGAAAGCTACTGCGAAATCGAAAGAAGTGAAGTTCCGTCGTGGGATTACGTGACGCCGCCAAACCTTAAGCGCACGAACTAGATTAGCTAAATCTTCTTCTTTATTATTATTAGAAATGGTCTTCTAAAAGCAGAATTTTAACTTATAACGTATATATATATATATATATATATATATACACGTTATAAAATAGCAGGATAGTGTTATTCTGTCTCGATATATGCTTCGGCCCAGCGTGCAATCCAGTGCACCGCTATACGATAATAAATTGTTTGATTTAAATTAGCACATATCAAATATATATATATATATATTTATATATATATTTGATCTGAATAACTGAAAAAATAAATATGTGCTAATTTAAATCAAACAATTCATTATCGTATAGCGGTGCACTGGATTGCACGCTGGGCCGAAGCATATATCGAGACAGAATAACACTATCCTCCTGCTATTTTATTTATGCCTTAAGCAAAGATTGACATTCTTTATTAATACAAATAGAACGCGCCTAAACTTAACTTTGATCACAGCGGAATCGTACCACGTATTGAAAAAAAACTATATAATATAATATACCTCTCTAAACATGAGCTTACTTGTTTTCGAATGTTCGCAAACGCCTTGTTTCTAACTTTTAACTGAATTCTGATAGTAGATATGAAAACGACCAATGTTGTCAAGTGTGCTTGAGTAAAATTTATTTTTCCTTAAATGCCACACGTACCCTCTGTTTCAAAGGCTACGTCTTCTGTGGTACGTGAATAGCTACATGTAATAACTATGATGGCTCTAAATAATATTCTTTTCCAAAGTTTGTAAACGTAAAAACGAAAGGACCTACCTGTGCTTTGGTGGGTACTGACTATTTTCGGGAGATTTTAGAAATAGAAAATACAATTTCATTTGTGAAACCCAACTACACCTATTGAAGCCGTACACGTAAATGTTGCCTCGTTAATGGTTATTGTGTTTCAATTCTATATAATTATGGTGCTGTCATCTGCTGCATCTACAATCAATCCTTTTTAAAGCCTAAACTCATTTCAATATACCACTTCAATTATGTTGCAGTGTCACTGTTCTACGATAATGATTAACTTGTTCACACGGCCATCAAGATTTACCGTGCTTAAAAGCTAGTTGTCCTATATTTACATTTTAATGCAGGCCGTCGAATAGCGCGAGCCGGAGCTGCAGACCGCCCCGGGAAAAGCCCTCTTTTCAAGACGACAATTTTCATCGCAGGAATATCGATTGTGAAATAAACAACGCACGTCCACTCCTCAACCTACCGCTGGAGAAGTATTCTCGAAGTAACGAGGCAGGTTTACCACCCGGTATGGGACAACTGAGGAAACAGGCATCGATGGACATGGCACCAGTGCCTTTAGGGAAGAATGCAGCGCTTAAAAGCTATTGACACGATGCTGATGACTTCAGCATACCCCGGCAATTTTTGAATCAACTACGGCACTGGCCATCGTTTGCTATGGCGTCCAATTAGACAAGCGAAAAAGTTCATCGCGAGCTCGTTGAAAGCGATCAAGAACGGCCTACCCGCAACAGCATGTTTTTGCATGGGAAGTGATTTATATTCGGAAAACTACTTATTATTATTAAGTAGTTTATTATTAAGCTAAAAAACGATATTCAGCTATTGTACCCTATATGTAGTAGATGCAGTGTTCAACCTTTATAAACCAAATTTTGCCGTGGAGGCCTACCTCGAATAGTCTCCAGTGAGCGTACGTCGAATAAAACGCACGTCCGTAATGAGTACCAATACAACCCAAATATCGGTTTGGCGCAATGGTTCTACATAGTATATTCTTCATATATATCGTATACATAGTATACGTTTTCGTCAAGTCAACAAATACCCCGTTGACAATCCACTATACGTGTTTGGTATTACTATTATTAGCATGAAAAATATTGTCTGCTAAATTTTAGGAGATCCGACGCGCGAGTTGGCAACGGCCCCATCGCCCCCAGACGTAAGCTTGCGCGGTGCACGCATGATGATAAAAGTAAACGTTGATCAATGAAATAGAGGACAGAGATGCAGAGGAAATCATTCCTATTCAAATTAGATTGCAGCATTCTAACAAGACCGCTTTTAATTAGGACCTGCTTATTAATCCGGGAAATGATTGGTTTTACAGAACGAGGTTCAGGGGCTAATTTTGTTTCACTGTTTTCGTTTTTAGCTCATATATCATGTGGCTGTTGTCCGTTTTCATCTAATTAATAATAACTTGCATTGACACCGTCTTTTCGGTAAAGAAGTATATGTCGAATGATAGTATGGAAACTATACATGACCCAATGTTCAAGAACGGGACCCTGCATAAAATAACGTTTTTATTCTAATAACAAGTAAGTGCACAACGATGCCCAAATTCAATAGTTTTCTTCAGCAAGTAAACATGCAGCCCAACAATTTTTGCGATAACAACCCTACCGCAGTAATGATGTCGAATACAAGGCTAACAGACGAAAGAAAACAGATTCTAATTTTTCTTTTTTTTTCGTTGGAAACTTTAGTGGTAGAAAATTTATGAAAGAATATGGGATGCTTTCGTATTACATGTGTTCAAGTAGTCTAATATTTGCATAGAATATTGAAAATTAAGGTTAGTTCCGGATCAGAGATGGCGGACAAACAACAGTACAAACGGTCGGTCAACGGTAGTATAGCAGTGACGAAGTTGCACTGGGGGACACAGATTGAAAGGGTCGTACGGATGATTCGAACACGACGATTGATTATCCGAGTCAAAATGCTCGGAAAATTAAATAAAACAACGTAATCGGATTACGGGAATATAAATAACCAGCTAGAACAAGATCGAAAAAATTACATAGCGTAATGATTTAAAGGACGCTTCAAAGAGAAAATTGCAAGAAAAGGCCAGGATGGCTGGATAAAGGACTGCGTAATCGGGATAGTGCCGCGACTCAAAATGCAGTGAGACTGGATTAAGGCCAAATAGGTAAACTTGCATTTGGTTAAACTCGGAAAGAAAAACTACAAAATAGTATAGGTAGCATCCATCGTGTGTGTGTACGTGTGAACGCACGAAAGGTATCGGTGCACGAACGGAGGTAAGAATGGCCAGATGTTATACGTACAGCTTAAGCTTATGAATGCAAATCGAGTGACAGCAGTAACTTGTAGTATTCTCAATGATTAAATTACGTTAACTATTGATCAGTCTAATCTAAGTTTTGCTGAAACAGAGCTAAAGACAAAGGACTTTATGAAGCTTTGTTTTTCGCTTGGCAATTGTGAGACACGGACTGTGCCTGGTCGACGAATTCGTTTTGAGTGCAAAGCTGGGATTGCCCATCGGGAATCCAAAGTTCAGACTCAAAACACATCTTTGCTTTAGCCAGTGGTATCAAATACCAAGTACAAAGCAAGAACATTACGATAACCCTCCTGCGAACAGAAAATACGTATGTGCTTAAGTTTTTTAACTACATACGTATTTTCTGTCTACTTGATTCACTAGTATGTTATCTACAGCGATCGTGGCACACTTACCTCAAGGCTAGCACCTGGAGAACTATGGTCGCCACCAACTAGCTGACCTGAGCCCGCCTTGTACATATACAAGTCATACGTCAATGAAACAAGACCAGGTTTATGGTTTGCCATGATCACATGAACGATTACTTAGATCTGAGCAATGTGTTGATTCGAACGTCCTTTTAATCTTATTTAGCTCCTGAAAGGATGATTATTTCATCCAAAGGAAAACAGGAATACGATATGTATTGTTGTTTTTATATTCGGATGCAAGTTGATAAACAGGGACATGACGTTTACGTTCTTTCATTACGTATCGTTTCGTAACGTTACACACAGCTTTTTTGAACATGCTTTTACACCTTTGAGGACTATTTAACATTCTCTTAGGAACAAGAATCTGCCTTCTCCACAACGCTGCTTACCTGCATACAGTAAAGACATCTCAAATAAGCATAAATATATTTATTAACCTTAGTTATATTTACATTAAATATTACCTTGTTCCTGAAAGGCTGCTAATCACATGTCGATGTCAAAATGGCTATTTCATTTAAATAGTACTATATATATATATATCTATATATATATATATATATATATCT